AAAAAAAAAAAAAAAAAAAAAAAAATTCCTGAGATTTGAAGTAAAAAATATCAAAGTTAAGAAAATTACTTTATAATTGAGATATCATTTTTCCAGGAAGCTTTTCAAATTGGAATATACTGGGCAAATACGAACACTGTGCACAAGTCAGTGGCAATTAAACTGGTCCATAACCTGACATCTCCAAAGTGGAAAGATGGAGGTAATGGTGAAGTAGTGACATTGGATGAAGAAGGGTTTGTTGATGCTGAAATAAGACTTGGTGCTTTTCCAGGACATCAGAAGGTAAGATCAAAGTCTGTGTGTCTGGGAGGAAATAGTTTGCCATCCCCTTAACATGTTTAAAAAGAATCTGCCTTTTTCTTTTTAATACCTTTTTCATATTACTTGTTCTAAACAATTTATAACAGTAAAACATTTGATTTCTTAACTTCTTAGACCTCTCTGTTTTACAGTGCTTTTTTTCCTTCACCAGTGATAAAAGCTGTGTCACATAATTTATCCAATAATTGTTCTATTTCAGAACACTCAGCAGTCACTTGATTTATAGTTCATGGGGAGAAAATGAACTTACTCCAGAATATCCACAAATTGTACTTGGCCTCCTCCTTTAGAGCAGGAAGTAGAGTCACTAACATTCTGAGCATAGAGTGAAAGGACAAAGGCTCCTCCTGCAGCAAAGGTTATATTTCTGGAAAGGACATCCTGAGCAAAATTATGTTCTCCCCTAATTCTAATTCTCGTTATGTTCTCCCAAAATTCTAATTCTTCCCTAGAACCACTGTTGTAAGAAGGAGTTGTATTCTTCAATAGTGGACCGGTACCCATGTTTTTAGAGATGGATACAAAAAGCATAATGTCATTTAAATATAAATGGTATGTGCTTTTCAATATAAATCTAAAGTCTATGAAAACCAATTAGCTGAATAATATAACTAATCACATTATATATTAAAGTACAATATCATAGTGTGCCATGTGGAAGTTTTTTGCTATACTTCTAATGTCTTCATTATTGTAGCTGTCCCAAATTAGAAAAAGCAGGGATACTGCATCAGCGTAGTAGAATTCAGAATGACCTTTTTCGGGAGAGAAGTTAGATTTTTGACAGGTGTCTTTGAAAAGTCTTTTGAGAAAAGTTAGGGTCATTTGATGACTTTTAAAAAAATTAATTTCCTTGATAGAAAGAAATTGGTCTTTCTTCAGCATTCAAGATCAGCATTCAGCATCCATTTCCTCAAAGTTGTCTGGGCAACACATGTTTATGCTCTGATGGCCAAAGTACTGTAACATGGGTGTAAATGGCAAAGAGCTGTAAGCATGAATCACCCAAAGTTGAATAGTTGTAAGTTGAGAACCACCATCAAAATCTGGAAAAAATGTTATAATAGTCAGTCAACACCCAATACCTCTAGCACCTAACAAAGTCGCCACAGCAAGTGTTGAATAACTGTTTGTGAATCAATGAATGAACTGCTGGAAAATATATTGATGTCTCATTATGCTTTGGTGGTGACTCAGGACCCCTTTATACTCTTAAAAATTATTGAGAATCCCCAAAGGCCTTTTGTTTCTGTGGGTTGTATCAATATTTACCAGATTCAAAATTTAAACAGAAATTTTTAAAACACACGAATACAAACATATATTCCATCAGCTATCAAGACTAATAATATCACACATCATATTGCCTCTGGAAAACTCCACTCTATATGCATGAGAGAATTCAAGTCTAAAAGATTGATAGCATCTTACTATTATTATAAAAGTAGTTTTGACCGTGGGACCCCATGCCCAGAGATTCCCTGTGGGTCTCCAGACCACCTTTTGAAAAACCAATGCTCTGATATTATTACTCACTGGATGGGTGTGTTTAAGCAGAAAACATCTTCTCTGAGCACTGTTCTTTACATAACATGGTAAGTTAATGAACTGATACATGTAGTTGTTAAGAGCAGCACCACAGAGCCAGACTGCCCGGGTTCCAACCCCCTAGTTAGACCCTCTTCATGTTTGTGACCTTAGGCAAGTTACTTAACCTTTTTGTGCCTCACTTTCCTCTTCTGTAAAATGGGGATGATAGTAACTCCCCTATGTAGATACTGTGAGGAATTTGTGAGTTAATATGTATAAAGTACTTGAAACTAGTGGAACACAATATTGCAATATATGAAGGTCAGTCCTTACTGTCTTGTCATTGTCATTACTGAAGTTCTCAGAACTCTCCTTGGTTCATCACAGACATTAGTAAGGTGGCTGCTGGGAGAGCATGAGGAGGAGGAGGGAGGCTGGGTGGAATTCTGCCGAGTAAGATGAGTGACATTTATTTACATACACATGCTTTCTAAATTAACACTTTGTGAGGTTATTGGTAAACTAAGCTGAAAACAAGTTGTCATCTGTCACCAGCTGCAAAGTAATGGGGTTGCTAAAGCACCCTGTTGTAGGGTAAATACTGACAGGGGCCGGAACATTTCTGAGACTGAAAGGTACACCATTAAATACTCTGGGGAAAAAAAAGGTAAAATCGGTACTGTCCTGGGCAGACAAATAGATAAAATAACCTTTTAGGAATACTCAAGAGATTTTGATATGCCTTACGGTATTGTCAAAATTACGTTTTTCTCATTTATCTTGTAGTTCTGTCAGTTCTGCATTTCCTCCATGGTACAGCAAGGTATACAAATTATTCAGATTGAAGACAAGACTACAATAATCAATAATACCCCATATCAAATATTTTATAAACCACAGCTATCTGTCTCCAATCCCCAGTTTGGAAAGGAGGTAAGCAAATCATAACATGATTCTTTTGTCTAAGTTTTGATAAAGAAACAATAAATAGGATCAACTTCTCTTTAACCTACAGCAGATAAAAAGCCAACCCTGAATGTAGGTAAAGAAAAATTCACTTATTTTTGTTATAATTAAAACCATGAATGTCATGGTCACTGCTTCCAAGGTAATTAATGAGCAGAAATGCTACCAAGCAGCAGGCCCTGACACACTGCTGGATTAATCCTGCCTGTGCCCCATCTGCTCAGAGGCTCCAGCCCAGTCCTCTAGCATGCTCACTAGACTCTCACAAGCAGAGACATTGTCCTGAGGACTGGCTCCTGGGTCACATGGAAAAGCACATCTGCCTTACAGGCTGCAGTGCCTGGGGAAGCCATGCAAGCAAAAAGCTATGACCTAACTGAGCTGTGGATCTGCTGGTGGTAAGCTCTGTGGTTATGAGGAGAATAATGTGGAAATATACCAGCTCATTTATGTTAAGATCTTGATGGCAGAATATGTGGAAAATAAATCTAAGAATGTTCAGTTCTTTGTACAATTAAAATGAATCGTTACATTTTAAGAGAGTAAGGGGAGATTTTTTTTCTTTCCATTGCATCTTAGGTATTTTTCTTTTTTATTATTATTATACTTTAAATTCTGGGATACATGTGCAAAATGTGCAAGTTTGTTACATAGGTATACATGTGCCATGGTGGTTTGCTGCACCCATCAATCCATCATCTACATTAGGTATTTCTTCTAATGCTATATCCCCCCACCCCCGACTCCCCGACAGGCCCCAGTGTGTGATGTTCCCCACCCTGTGCCCATGTGTTCTCATTGTTCAACTTCCACTTATGAGTAAGAACATGCGGTATTTGGTTTTCTGTTCCTGTGTTAGTTTGCTGAGAATGATGGTTTCCAGCTTCATCCATGTCCCTGTAAAAGACATGAACTCATTCTTCTTTATGGCTACATAATATTCCATGGTGTCTATGTGCCACATTTTCTTTATCCAGTCTGTCATTGATGGGCATTTGGGTTGGGTTCCAAGTCTTTCCTGTCATGAATATTGCTGCAATAAACATACATGTTCATGTGTCTTTATAGTAGAATGATTTATAACCCTTTGGGTATATGCCCAGTAATGGGATTGCTGGGTCAAATGGTATTACTAGTTCTAGATCCTTGAGGAATCGCCACACTGTCTTCCACAATGGTTAAAATAATTTACACTCCCACCAACAGTGTAAAAGCATTCCTGTTTCTCCACATCCTCTCCAGCACCTATTGTTTCCTGACTTTTGATAATATCATTCTGACTGGTGTGAGATGGTATCTCATTGTGGTTTTGATTAGCATGTCTAATGATTAGTGATGTTGGGCTTTTTTC